ATGCATACAGTTTCATAAGTTGGGTAAATTTGCGTAATTGACAAAAAAGCACCAATTAGGAGCCCAGGTGATGAGGTAATTCTCCCTTCTGGTTCAACCGTTTTCTGGAGGCCTTCCCCTTGGTACTAGCAGTACTTTGTTTATGAAAATGTGTCTCAAAGAGCTGTTTTCAACCTTAGTAGTCAGGGAGAACCAAGATAGAATAGGGATCCTGGAATATGTTTTGTCTTATTGCCTTGGAAAATGCTGAAGCTAAACTATAATAATTAGCCCCAAAGCTACAAATACACATATAAAAAATACAGAGAATATGTAAAAGAAAAAAAGGTAAAAACCAAAACAGCATCACCCTCACAACCTAGAACAAACACATCAAACTGGTAGTTACCATCCTGTGGTTCTCTGCCTTTTGTGGAGCCTATTTTAAACCTCTTATAACAAATGTATTTTTAGTCCCTTGTTTGTAGACTCTGAATGATGAAGCTCTGGCTCTCACAGCCACAAGGAATCCTGAGGCACGTTAGCACAGATTGAAAAGGAGACAGTGGGAAACAAAGGTGCTGCACACTCTGTAGGCAGGAGCAGAGGGAGAAGAGTGGCAGGGAGAAAAGGGCTTCTTCCTAAGCATAATATGGTAATCTTAAAAATTGGTATCTGCTGGGCATAAAGATAAGGTGGCAAAGCAAATGTCCATCAATGGTCAGTTACAATGTCCTCTGACCTGAGGAAGATCTGCTGATTCCAGGTCTGCTCCTCCAAGTACCACAGGTCAGTTTTGTGTTATTTCCCAGCAGTCTATTTGCCAGGGTCACATGTCTCATTGACCAGGACAGCACACAGCCAGGCCCAAATTTGCGTTTGCAAAATGATGAAATCAACTTCATTTCATGCCTGCATTGCTTACTCCTGTGCATTATAAGGAGAAGGCACGGTGGATACTGGGGGAGGGGGTGGAGTTTTGGGTGGCACAGGAGTGTGAAAAATGAGATTTGTGATTTGGAATTTTTAAGGTTTAATAAGGGATAAAGCAAATAAAAAATTAACCAGCACTGAGGTGCCCTTCACGTTTCGCCAAAAAGCACTGACACTGTGATCTATATACTGTTACATTACTGAGGTACATACATATTCATGTGTTTCATACATTATTCAGACAAATTCTTGTGAGATTTTGATGTTTCAAGGAACTCTTTCATTTGTTTACTTTACACTCTAACTTATCTGCATGACATCCTGTAAATTAGATTGATATGTTTTACTTCTTGTGTCTCCATCCTGTTGTTCCTCATCCTCTGATAAGAAGTTAACTAATTCTTGACTCTTCTCTGGTGCTCTGGTTTTTGTCACTGTTATCTCTTGGGGAGGTCAGTTAGCAGATGTAGGAACCAACAGAATTGTTTCACACCATTCTCTTAGCGTTTTAAGATTTTGTGTTTTGCTAAGGCCTATGATATAATACATTCATCACAACACTATTTCTATAAACTATATGGTACATAATTAAACTAATAGATTGTTATACTAACAAACAGCTAAATAGAGTTATACATTGCACTATATCCAAATATTTATAGTCAATATCATCGTGCAAAAGCTAATACATAAATGCAAAAGCCAATATTACACTGTAGTTTTTAACAGGAGGCACTGGCAGTCTTGGGGAAGAGAGTGCCAAATGAGGGGGGAGATTTGGGGTGAGAAGGACATAGGGACACCCCAGAAAGCCCCCCAGATTATTCCTTTGCCCTCCCTGAACCAGCCTAATTCATCCATAAAAAGGTTTCCATGGGCTGCAGATCTTGTCCATGGGTATAGGGGCAGGTGGAGGCATCAGGAAACACCCATAGCCCAGCAGCTCTGTGCCCAGCCAGGACAAGGAGCAGGGTTGAGGCTGCAGGGGCTGCTCCCAAATTTCCCCACCCCAATGACACAACTAGACACAGGCTTTAGGGGGCTGACTCAGGCTTTATTGTCCACCTGCATGCTAAAAGGGAGCACAAAATCCACCTCCATTCTCTGCAGGATGCCATCCTGGAGCAGAACCAATCCCAAAGGAAGCTGTGAGCCTGTGGCAAGCTAGTGTTGCAGCAGGATCTTGGCAGGACGTCTGGAAGCCAGGACAGAGAAGTCCACTTGTTCCAGGTTCCTGATGGGATTAATGATCACATGAGTTTCCACCAGGGTCTCCTTGCTTCTTAAAGGTTCCACAGTTCCTCACCATGGTTCCCAATGTCGCAGTGGTCCCGAGGGTTCTGTCAGATTCAATAGCGTCCTGACAGTCTCTAGGGTCCCCTGAGATTCTGTGGTATCACAATGGTCCCCCAGGGTCCTGTGAAGTTCCATAGTGTCGTAAAGGGTCTCCTGGGTGCCTTGGGGGTCACAATGCACTGTGGGTTTCATGTGACCCTGCTGCATTCCCTGGCTTCCACAAGCCCCTGCAGGTGTCCAGTGATTCCCTTGGCTGCAGGAGCAAGTGGAGATCCTGCCCCTTGGTAGCTGAAGGAGAAGCAGCAGGGACAGCATGCAAACAGTACCATTGCCATTTCTCTGGCCATGCATGGCTCTGTTCCTTCCACAGCCGTTGTGTGTAGCACCCACTCTGTATCCTTAGGTGTGCAGGTGACAGTCATGGCCTGGAGCACAGCTGCTGCTGGGGGGATGCCATGGGGCAGGAGGCTAGCAGGGATTCCTTCCCTACATGCTGCAGCTCCCTGTGCCAGGTGAGACTAAGCACCTCTGTGAAGCCAGCCCTCTCTGGGAAACAGCCAGGCCTGAGCCACCCCCCAGCTCCTTGCAAGGCCTGGCTTTGGCATCTTGGAGGCCCAAAGCCCAGTGCCAGACAGTTTGCTCCTCACCGTTTTCTAAAGCTGACCCAGAAATGTCCCATTGGGGGGTGCCCCTTTCCTACAGTCACTGTCACCCTGGGAGAAGATCTGGAGTGGGGCGGGAGGGCGAGGTGGGAGGGAGTAAGTTTTATAGTAAACTCCTGTCCTCCAAATGATGTCAGAATCTGAAAATCCTCGAGGACATCTCTGCTCTTGCACTGCTTAAAGCCCAAAGGTGCGCTTCATCTCAGCTGGGAAGCCGAGTCCTGGCATACTCACACCCAAAGCCCAACTCCACTAAATCACCTGATGAAAGAGAGGAGAAAATGGAAATTAATTCCACTGTGGAAGTCAAAGGCTCCTGGCTTTCCCACTTCTGTTCTGATTGCTCTCTATAGGATTTTATCCATAAAAAATGAGAGGTGGTAGCAAATAAAAGTGCCCTTTAGCAACATTTTCCCCTATTTTCTTTCATACATAAAAAGTATGCCCATTTTTACTTATTGCATTCTTTGTGTAATTTTAACAGAACCATTTTCATTCCAGGCACTACTTGTGAGTTATTGAATCCTTTGCCATTGGACTTTGAACAAAGGAAGAGAAGGATCTGTTTTACACAAATGTCATCCAATGAGGAACCTTTCATGCAGTTCCCAGAGATTTTGTCCTCCAGAGACTTCATAGCTGAGATAGGTCACCTTTTGTTGCACCAGCTGAGCTTTCCGTTGAGACACTGTCCTGGGGTACAATGCAAAAATGTGTATTCTATCACCATCTGTTGAAATGTGGGAGGGATGGTGATCCTTATCTCTGTGGGAGATATCCTCTGCTGATGTGCCATCTGATAAATCAGGGGGATGATCATTGTTATCTTTTCACAACCCATCCTTCCTCCAGAAGATATATTCTGTTAATGGGCCATTAAGTCCTATTGTGTGACTGATAAGATTGCATCATCCTATTGGGAGATGCCCCAGCCAGGGGCAGGAGCCAAGCCTTTCCTACCTAGATAAAAAACTGGGGTTTGGGACGCAAAAGCAGCCCTTTTCCACTGGATCCCAGAGGAAAGTCGGACCTTTTCCACATCATCGCTGGACCTTCAGAGGAAAACTGCACCTTCTACAGGAGGACTGCAGCCACCATTTATACGGACTGCTACCAACACCCTGACTGAGTGTCAAGTTGTATTCTGACTCTGTCGGTGGTTTTTCTTTTGTATTATTGCATGTATTTTATTTTTTCTACTTTTTCCTATTAAATTGTATTACTGACTGGGAGTCTCTCACTGGTTTTGCTTTCAAACCAGCACAGACACTCAATAACGTTTTAGTCCAAGAAAATTCAACAGACTTATTGTCCATACAAGGCACTCTTCGATAGTTTTTGTAGCAATTACTTGTGGTTAACTTTTTGTTATATACCACTTAGGTTTCACTCCTCGAGCCTTTGGACCGGTGATTGATTAACAGGACAGCTGAGTAGGTGCTCTTTTCCCCTGTCACCTGCCAGTCAGGCAGAGGTGCTTCCCCTGTTCCCCACCCGCCATTCAGGTGCAGGGGGCGGGGCTTGCCCCAGCCATTAGAGGGGCGATTGGCAAGACAGCTGGGCAGGTGCTTTTCCCCCCTCCTGCACCCCATTCGGCCTCAGGGGTGGGGTTCCTCCTGGCCACCAGAGGGAGGGGGGCGATTGCCAAGGCAGCTGGGCAGGTGCTGGCCCTTCCTTGTCCACCAGTGAGGTATAGGGGGTGAGGATTACCCCGGCAACAGTCTGTATTTTGTCTTGCTCGCAGTTTTCCTCCACTGAATCTATATAAATGCAATTTTGGGTTTCTTAATCCAGATCTCTATGGTTGCTATGCATACTGTCCTTTTCTTCCCTAGTTAAAACACACATCCAGTCAGTTATTTCTCCTTCAGCTTCTCAATTCCAGTCAGCATAAATATTATGCTCTCACCAGATTATTTCTTAGTAAGTTTTGAAGCAGTTTCTGAGTAACACACTGAAAATAAAACACCACCAGCAAGAGTAACAAAACATCAGCCTTACAAGACATCATTTCAGATGACTGTTGCCTGCGATTAACTGATAAATTTATGATTTACTTACTTAGGACATAATTTTTAAGAGAACAGGATGAAAATTTGGATTGCTTCCTCCTGTCTGACTCACAGTGCTTTAGCATCCTGTTATTACCTGCCAGAAGTACATCAGAATGAGGGTTCACCACTGAAGGACCAGGTGTTTCACCAAGTTCACGATAACAGCTGCCAATTCATCCTGTCTCAAAGTTATGCACTTGGCTTCAATTTTAGATTTAATCTCTCTTTTCCATAACCAAGGGCAAGGTACTCCAGCACATCTTCAGCTTTTGCCATTTTCCCTTGGGAGTACAGCCATCGTGGTGATTCTGGGAACATGCTAAGAGGACAGAACAGAAAATCAACAATGTGAAGTTCATTCCTGTGAACGCAACACTAAGGTAAATATTTCCATTTTGCAGATTGATACTTGAAAAAAAGTACCAGTACAAAATTCAGAGGAAAACATTCTAGTTGCAATGTTTTGCATTTTCAGTTCCAAATAGCCTGGTGATAACAGTTACCCTTACATACGGACCACTAGGAGATGGTTGACAATGTACTCAATGATGTTAGAAGAGTTGATATCTAAATCTTTAATTGTACTGAACTGACTTCTTAGGCAATGCTACACTACCATGGCCAGGAAGCATCTCAAACCTCTATTATCTGAGCAGCCTGGACAAAATTTCATTCTCATAGAGTTTATTTCAAGCTTCACATTATGTGAAGGGATCTGAGTTAGAATGGAAACAAAAGAAAGGAAACCTTCCTGGGGATTTAATTGCCAGGCTCCAGTACCAGCTCATTGCTTCTGATGTAGGTTTTAAATCTCTTATTTCCACATATAATCAGAATATTATATATAATATAATAATCCTTCCTTATCACAGCTTCATGATCCCTGCTTCTCTTACTCCCCCGTCCTGGCGTGATGTTATGGTGCTTGTATCCCCAATCGTGTGTTCTGTTTGTGCTTGGTATTTGTTCTGTGCTTTCAGGACAGACTCTGAAATTGAAGATTTGTTTTGTCTTGTTATCAGCCGGCTCACCTCCTCCATGGTCTGTGTTTAGGAGAGGCTAGGTTTGCTTGCTTGCTCGCTTGCTTACTTGATCGCTTGCTTTTGCTCCTACTTTTTGCTTTTGCTTATTAGTTAGTTTAGCTAGGCAGTCCAATTTTTCCCTGGACTGTTTTTTTTTTCATCTCCCTTTCCTGAATACCATCAGAACCTGTTCTGGTTGGGGACCTGGGAAACACCAAGAAACACCGGGAGTCTGCATTTTGTGATCTGCAGCAGTCATTCCCCAGCTCTGGAGACCGATAATTGGGTGACCACTCGCAGGAGAGACTTTCTGAGTTTGTCATCCTTTCAGAGCGGTGAAAGAGTTTTTTGTAATCTGGTGTTGGGTTTTTTTTGTGCTGAGGAGTGTTTTGCTTGTTAAATAAACAGGTTTTTTTCCACTCCTCTCTGAGGAAATTCTTCCTGAACCTGGTGGTGGGGGGGAGGAGTTGTGGGGGTTTGCTTTCTGGGGGCTCCTTCTGGAGGTTTTTCCCCAAATTTGCCCTAAACCAGGACACCCCCGTTTCAGCTTTTATATGAACCATAAAATAAGGAATGGAATATTTTGAACGGAACAGTTATTTTCTCTGGCAATCTTAACAGAGGTATGCATCCTACAACCAAACTTAACTGCCATTACTTTGAAGGACCCCAGTATTTTTAGTATTTGGGGAAGTAATTCTACCTCATCAGAAACAGAACACCATAGAGGAAAATATATAACACAGAACTTCTTTATGGTATCCTCAGGCTTTGTATTCTTTGACTACAGGAAGAGAGGTGGGGATTTTAGTGTAGTCTTTAAACAGAACTTCTTTCAAGAGCAGATCTATCTAAAAAATTAAATCAGAAGAGCTTTTTTCAATCTGTGCTGTATGCCTGTATGACACTCCTTTTATTAATACGCAGGTAACCTACAACACTAATTATTTTATTTCTTCTACAGCTTTCACTAGTAATCAGGAATAGATGATGTGTGTACCTTTTTAGGTTAAAAGAATATTCTCTTAGAACACAGGCCAGACAAAGCAAGCACTTAATTCCTTACATACTGAAGCAGTTTATAATAATTTATTTAGGTCTATTAGACTCTTGAATAGAAGTGGCAGGCTGGGGCAGAAACTAAGTTAGAGAAGTACAAGGACTGAGCTCAGTACAAAACCAGCTGCCAAGCCAGAGATTTTCTACAGCAGATGTCTGGTGAATAAGCATAAATAAAAATGTTTAGAATACGGGGTCAACTAGAACTCCAAAAACCTGGCAACAAACCTCGTGCAGCTTAACACAGGAGATCCTGTAGGAACCTACAGACTACTTTCAGCTGTGGCCCACAAGGGCCAGCTCACACCAATACCCAGGGCAGCTGCTTCAGCACAGCTGACCTGCATCCCGCAGCTCTTCTCCTTCAGCCCCTCCTTCTCAGTGCTGAGCAGAATTAGAATAGAACACAACAAGCAGCAGGAAATGCCCTGTCTCTTCCATTCACCAGGAGGTTGGCATGCAGGGAAAAGAACAGGGAAGAGCAGAGACACAACAGGGCAAGGGAGAAGAAAGTATGAGAGAAGGAAGGCATAAGTCAGAAAAGTGAACTCAGGAGAAAAGGAAAATCCAATACTTTAAAAAAAAAAAAAAGTGGAAGGTTATAACTAAACCACAACTGTCTCATACATCCCCAGGACTCCAGAGATAAACATCAGAAAAACAGTAGAATGAAGCAATTGAATAAATGAGGGAGAAAAATATGGTTGCAGCCACATCAAGTTAGCATTTGGAGCATGGTTTTCTTCATGTTGTACAAGCCAGAAACGAGTTACAGCTAATCCAGCTTTGCAACTGTCTGATATGCAAATGCTAAATTTATTTAGGTCTTGGCAGTGGCATATGAAAGAAGGACTGTCTCGGTTTGAAAGACAGGTATTTTCTAAGGAAAGGCGAGAACCCCTTTCCTGAGATGCAGAGTGCAAACCCCTCCCTTTTAATTATTTTAGTTTCAAATCAGATGCTGTCAGGCAGGAGATATGGGGATAGGAATAACAGTTCTTTATAGCTGTTGTTGTTTTCTGCTATTCTGACTTGTTAGATATCAGTAAAAATTGACAACAAAACAGAACAGTATAGCTCAGTTCCAGTCCCTTTTGGCCAAGGCCCTCTTTCCCTGCACTCAGTTACCGATGCTGTGTGGGCAGGGCAGATCCCGCACAGTCGAAGAGGGCTGAGTGATGGCGGCAGCAGCCCAGGGGTGAGAGGGATGGGGGAGAGACTCTCCCCTCACGGTGTCGGTCGTGGTGCTCGGCAGAGTGTCCAGAGGTAGTAGGATGAGGTGGGAAAGCAGCAGAGCGATGTCCAACGGCAGGGAGCGTGGATCTCGGCACAGGGATGGCAGGGGAGATGCCAGATCGGAGCCCGGGCCGTCCTCCTACCACTCCACGAGCCAAGCGAGAGCCAGAGAGCACCCGCTCCAGACCCCTCTCCTCTCCCCCCTTTCCTTTTCCAGTCTCCCCCCTCTCCTCCCCCCCCCCCCCACGAGAGAACATTATATTTTCTAAGGTGTAGCCACAAATACTTAGCATAACAGTGGGAGAAATTCCACAGAAAGAAAAGGGAACAATTCAACCCCCAACAAGGACATTTGAAATTACTGGACAGTCAGTGTATTCAGCAATGAAAAAAAACACAATTTAGGCACTAATTCGTTTTTTGGTTCAGAGAAACTTCCCAGAATACCTTCCCAAGATACCATACAGCAGAATTAGGCAGGATCTGCCAAAACTTTTTTAAAATGTAATGCAGTGTACAAATTTAGAAATTTTAGAAATTAATGTACAAATTTGAAAACCTCAGTTTTGCTATTTATCAAACAAACTCAGTCCCATATTCCTTCTTTCCCTCAGAAATCAGAACTTGGATGAATCGCATCACACTCATTTGACTTATACTACAACTGATTTGACTTGGTAAAACCATAAACAGGTACTGATAGAACAGCATGTGTCCCAGTAACAATGATAAAATATATCCCAAATCCCATCTGTAAATGACTGAAATTATTTTCCTACATATTCTTGTGTTAGAACAAAAGACACAAGAGCCATTCCACCTTTCATGATTCAAACGATAGACCATGCAACTGCAACTATGTCATAAGTTGGAGCTAAGTCTGTGACATACCTAAAAATGAAATCAAAAATAGACCTGCAGAGACAGAATAAAATGTAATTAGTACTTCTACACAGTTTGAACTCCAAAAGAAGGGAAGAGGTCTCCAAAGAGACCACAGCCAGTTAGTGATTATAATGATTAGTCTGGAGTATTCATCTCTCATCTCTCATATTTGGCTTTCTGAAATAACACCATATGAAAATTACAATACTTTTCAGGTCACAAACTTGAGGTCGGCAATGCCAAAGAAGGCATTTCCTTGAGACAATATTTAACAACAATTTTGTTTGCAAACGCAGCTGGAAAACAAAACACCAGGACATGAGTAACCCACTCCTGAAGATGCTTAGGTAAAGCAGTCTCCCCTAGCCCCTGGAAAAAAGAGCAAGTATTTTTTATTTGGAATAATATAGTTAGGTAATGTGTGGAATACTATGCTCCAATAGTGATAGCCATGACAAAAACAGGTTTTTTCACCTTCCACTAATACTTCATAACCTCTGTGCTGCTCAGCACACTGATACTAACTAGTTTCAGTGCTGCTCCACTCTGAGTGAAATGCTTATACAAGTCCTTGACAGAGCAAGGGACCAACGAGGAGCATTTAAGTAGTGTGGCCCAGGGGCAGGCAAGAAAGAGATGTTTTCCATATAGAATACTTAAAAACCTTTTAACAATCTTACCTGAGATATACACTTGTTTCCTGCCCAGTTTATCTGACAAAGGGCCAAATGTTAAATTTCTATGAACATTCCAGCAAAAAACAGGGATGATGCCTTACTTTGTAGGCTTCTTGTTCAGTTAGGTACCACTACTTTAAAAAAAAACCTTATTAAAAGTATGCCATTCCCTCAATAATAAAAAGCTATCAAAATTATTCTCTTATAATTTCCCGCTTCTTGTTTTATATCCCATTAAAGTTTTATTCAAAGTTTGATAGGTAAACCAATGGTAGTGATATTCTTTCTTCCATAACAGATTCTAACATGTCTCATGTAAATTTCATTGTAATGAATTAAAATTGTTCCACATTGTAAGCAGCATTAGCTGCACTCCAATTCCCAAGCTTTGGCAAGGCAGCTTATCTTAGGTCATTAAAACAAGGACCTGTGAAAAGCATAGCTATTTCACCATTAAACCAGCAGTTATTTCAATGAACAGGCATAAAAATTTCTTCATTAAGAAGTAGAATGCATTCACTACTGCAGTACTTAGAGAGTTAATGCTGTGCCTTCTGAACAACAAATGATCCCTGGTGCCTTTCCTCAACATACACATGTTGAACTCTTGAAGAGAACCAAAAAGAGATTACAGCAAAATGTCCCTGTTTCATAAAAATGCTCAGAACTAGTTATAGGCTACTCACTGGTATTTCAGTATCTTATTGTGCACATGCACTTATAATCAAAAAAAGTTACAAATAAATTATAGGATTCTTTATGAAATATACTTTCTATCTCATCCAAAATCTAAACTGAGGCAGCATAATGACAAATCATCAAAGACAAGAAAATTAACTGAAAGTGGATTGAAAATGCTATTTCCCAGTGGGGCAAGGCAGGCAGACAGCTTGTACGACAATTAGTTCTTGAAGCAGACCATAAGAGCCACTCTGGAGTTTTTTTAAGAACACTGTCCCTGCAAAACTTGAACAGAACTGAGAATATTTAAATTCCATAAAGTTTAATCTACATCAACAAAATAAAGGAAATAAACTTTACAGAAGCAGCTCTTGCAAGGCAGAACAAGAGAAGAGATTGCTTTTACAAATTGGTACTTTTGCTTTTTGACTAGTATTTTAGTTTTTCTTCAGGCTAAGTTGTAATAAATTTTTAGTTTACATTTCTCAAATTATTAATGAAATTATTTATAGATATAAATCAGGACTATTTTTAGGACTATTAATTAAACAGTAAGATTTAAATCAAGCTAAAATTTCCTTTATGTATATTGGAAAGAACAGTATTTCTTTATAGGTTTTATTTTTTCAACTTAAATTGAGTTTCCATATTTAATTTTAAAACTACTGTATTAAGGGTATAAACTCCATGTTACAAAGTAATTTTGTGATTTACATTTTATTGTTTAACTTGGATTTTCATAACATTCTACGTAAATTTTGGAAAACTTTTAGATATACTTTTGAATTAAAATATATCTAGGTACTTTTAGTTTCAAGAGGATTAATTAAAATAGAAATCTTGGGGTTTATTTTTAAAATAAGATGTGTAAGCTTTAAACTTTATTTGTAAAAAAGATTTAAGATTTAAGGTTTGAAATGAGAGATAATTAATACATAAAACTTTTTAAATTTTGTAATAGGTTTTATTTATAATATATTATTATTTTATTTATTTGTTATTAGTCATTAATAGTGATAGTTTTAAAAAGGTATTATTTTAATTTTTAAGACAGTTATTACTGATATCTTGATTATATGATGTAAATTTATAGATTTTATAATAGGTATTATTTATAAAATATTATTACTGTATTTATAGCTGGTTCCTTATATGTTTTAACATTTTCTGTTTAATTGTCTAAAAAACCTATTAACAATACAGTCTTCAGAAATTTTAAAGTAAACAAAATACGTAGGAACATAAATTTATTTGCATTAATCTTGGGAATTGCCACATATTTTGAAAATAGGGACACTGACTTCTACATTTAAAACCACAGTATTAGTTAATATTTGATGACTTCTGAATATAAAGTAAACACTACCCCATATTAGGCATCCTGATGAGAGTCTGAAACTGAAGGGTGATCTTGGAAAACAGGCTAATCAAAAATATCTGTTTCTGATAGAAGATATGATCCAATATTGCATAATTCCTTCTTACGTCTAGTCACTACATTTTTCTAAGATAAATATTACACAGGCCCAGTTGGGATAATGGGAAGGAAGCAAAATTTGATATTAGCTACACAAGTGCTCACCTGTCTTATAGGAGTTTACTGACAACTGCTCTGAGAATTCCATCAGCAGAACTCCTGCACCTCACACTACCAGCCAAGCCATCCACACAGCCTTTTTTCTGACACTGGCACTGACATAGAGGTCACTCATGCTTGCCTGAATGATTACAGCCCAGGCACCAGGAAAAAGCAAGCACAGCCTCTTGCCTGGAATTCATAAGGCATGAGGCTAAAGGGTCAAGCTTCTGTCCCACTTGCCAAACTCCAATCTATTTCATCTCCGACTTTCATCATGCAAAAATATCCAGACATATGGTGCATGAGTTCCATTTCAATGGTTATAGTCTTTAATACATATCCTCTGTGAATAACTAATGCGACTCAGGGCAAAGCTTACATGCACAGCAGATTGTGCAGATATGACAGATTGAATATTTTTGCAGACATTAGGAGGAGCACATTCTAAATTCTAGAGTTTTAAACTGCTAATTTGTGTGTGGTTTTGCATTCATTGATTTTTGCTGAGGAGAGAAGCCGGCCACGGAAGTGATTTTTCTGTGGGAAGCTGCTAGAAGCTTCCTCCATGCCTGGTAAAGCCAATTCCGGGCTGGCTCTGAGAACAGGCATGCTGCTATGCCAATTAGAGATGGTAATGCCTCTGTGATGACATATTTAACAAGGAAAAAATGCATGCAGTTTCTCTTAGCTTCTGCTCTTCTGAGGGGTAGTGTGGCAACCACTGGAGGCCACCCTGGCGCAGATGCCAGGGGCCATCCTAGCACTACGGCTGACACCACATAGCTGGGACCATCTCAGCACTGAAGTTCATTTCGCAATGAACTTTGCCTGCTTATCCACTTTTTACCAGGCGTGCTACAAGCAGAAGGGCAGCGGCAGCCAGTGTGGCCTGCGCAGTGCTGGTGGGGACCACATGACTGACAATGAGGGGCATGACAAGCAATTCCCTGACATGGAGCCCAGATAAGTTCAACCTTTCAGCACTGTAAAACTCTATAAGATCTTTTCAATTGATAGAACTTGAGAAAAAAAGCAAACCTAAGGACAACAATTTTCTCCCAAGTCAGAGAAAAGGAAAAGGTGAAGACACATGAGGAGAACAACATGGTGGCATTAAGGTCGGTGAAAGGAGGGAGGGAGGGAGAGGAGGTGCTCTGGGCCTTAGAGCTGAGATTCTTTTACAAGCCATGATGAGATTATACTATAACAGTTTCCCTGTAATTCGTGAAGTGCATGGGGGGATACAGAGATCCACTTGCAGCCTGTGAGAAGATGCTGCTACTGCAGTGAGTGGATGCTGAAAAGCTGTAATCTAGTAAGAAATCTGAATAGAGAGAGAAGACCCTTGTTTCCAAAGATAAAGAGGACCCTGGCTTCGAAACTAGAGCACCTTATCCTTGAAAGACTATGCCTCATGAGCCAAAATTACCCACGCCATGTAGTTTGGGAAGACTATTTTGCTTGTGGGAGGGACTCACATAGCAGCAGGTTGGGCAGGACTGCTACTCATGAAAATTAAAACCATGCTGGAAAAGTTCACAAAGAACCTTGCGTGGGAAGGACTCTGCAGCACAGCAGAAAAAGAAACTCCTTTCTGTAAGGGAACTGAAGAAAGCTTTTTAGAAGTAACAAACTGACTAAAGACCCCATGTTTCGTCTCTATGTGCTGACGGTGGGAAAGAGGAAGGGACTGAGAAAAAAAAAGTGTTCTAAAGGTTTATTTTAGTTCTCATTACGCACTTTGAATTCTATTAATATTTTTTCTTTATACTTTTTATGTTTTTGAGCCTGTTTTTGCCCTTAGAGTACTTTCTCCTAATCCTTATCTCACCCCATGAACACTTGAATTTTTCTTCCCCCTCCTCTGCTCAACTATAGCAGAGGAGAATGACTGAATGGTTTATTGGGGGTGCCTGGCTTTTAGCCAATGTCAAACCACAACATAATTAAATGATCATTTTTCATTAATGACTTTCTAAAACAGCTGAAAGTAAAACTGAAAATAAATCTGTCCTGGTTTGAAAGACAGGCATCTGATAGAGAAAGCAGGGCCTTCCCTTGAAAGGGAGAATGTAAATCCTCTGCCTCTGAATTAGTATAATTTTGAAATTAAGGGGCTCTCAGGCAAAGATATGGGGATAGTGTGAGATGCTACATAGTGATTCATGTCATTATAGAAACACACCATGGAATCAGTATAAACCAGAATACTGAACTTAAAGTAAAGCATGGACATGAGACAAAGAAAAATATAATAATTTCATTATATTTGTTAAAATCACTTTGCTGTGAATTGCTGGCTTTTTGCTGCTAGGTATTTTTTTTGCCGCTATAATTATGAATTGTATCCACTTTTTATGTGTAAGGAAAATGCAGGCTTGTGCGAACATGAACAGACTTGTTACTACTGTTACGTGCTTGCTAGGAGTGTAACCTGAGAACATGTTTGAGCCTTGTCCAGACCTGGTGGGGGCTTGTAGCCACTACTGCTTGGGAGCTAGCCAACATGTTTGGGCTTGGTCGGACTTGTACCCTAGCACAGTAGGCATGACAGGACCCAACAAGAAACTGCCTATAAAAGGGGCAGTGACCAAAGGTAAGATGAACATGTTGGTGGAGTGCAGACTCCCTGTGTCCCCTGTTGGAAAGAATAAAGATTGGACAGGAAGGTCTCACAGATATGTATGTGTATGTAGAATCTGAAGAAGGAATAGAAATGATAGCAAGTTTTGATATAGAAAAGAACTGCTGAGCCAGTCTTGCTGGGTAACTAGAAGGCAAAGAACAAGTGAGTTGGAAGGGGATTTTATGACCTAGAGCAAAGGACAAAGCCACCTCAAACAAAAGATGTTGTTACCAAAAAAAAAGGATTTTCACAGACAACAAGAAAGCCAATGTTGCAAGTAGAGAAAAGATCTCAGTTTTTTACACTGCAAGAAAACTGAAAAACAACTTCTAGCTTAAACTGTAACATACTAACCTTTTGTGATTGGAAATAGTAACATGAATATGGTAATGTTAGTAGTTAGGATAGGCTATAGGTAATAGTAAACGTATTGATTGGTTGTCATGTATTAAGATGCTCTGTAATGAAAAGTATGTAATGCATAACTAGACGGGGCTTCAGACGAACCCACAGCTGTGGCTGAAAAGGCTGTGGGCTGGGCTCTTGTCACCCACGACCCGTGAATTGCTGTATCAGTTGGATAAAATAAACAGCATTTTAAAGAGCCGCCTGGAGCCCCGCATCTCTCGTTTTTGGCTCTTACAGTCCCCAGTGCTGCTTGCCCATTCCTTATCAAGAATTAATAAATTGCCTTATTGATTGCCTACCCGATTGTGGTGAATAATTTATAACAATAGGAATAACAGATCTTTATTAGTATATACAACAAGGCAAACAAAACAACTACAACTGTGGAATTAACAACAAACAGAACAGGAACCCAGTAAGAGTTTTTTCAGCTGCCGGCACTTTCCCCTTTGATGCAGTTCCCGTCACAGCTGGCAGTGAGCGCTGGCTGCTCCCGGTGGACAGGGCAGGTGCAGCGATCCCCACGCAGCTTTAGTGGGGCTGGACTGATGGCGGCTGTGTCCAATAGGAAGGAATGGAGGAGAGGCAGGACGTTTGGAAACAGCATACTGAAAGCAGGAGGTCCTAGCAAGCCCGGGGTGCGGGGTCCAACAGCAAGCTAGAGGCAGCTCACAGCGTTGGAATGGAGGGGGGAGTAGCAGCTACCTTTCTCCTCCGAAGAGTGAGCGAGAGACAGCAACTGCCCCCCATCCCTCTTTTACCTGCTTCTAATTTCGCGGTGATAGATAACCACCAGCGAAGTTCTGGAAGTCTGGTCCTTGAGATAGGCAGCATTGATCAGACAAAGGCAGGAAGGACCATCGGGAAGTCTGATTTTGCAAGCTGGTAGTAGATACAACGTATTTGGAAAACATAATATTCATAACAAAGTGATGTAAAACAGAATGATTTAATAATATATTTTCCTTTATCTAGTGTCCATGCTTCACTTCAGACCTTAGTATTCTGGTTTATACAAACCCCAATACTTTTGTGATTAACACGAATCTTTTATCAATTGTCACACTCCCCTTCCTCATCTCAAAGACTCAGCCATCAGTGTTTCTTAGCATGTCAATGGGAAAAAATTCCACAGACAAAAGGAAAGAAAAAACCAACCCCCAAGAAAATAATATACAGGAAGTTCAATCTAAATTACTAAGTGTTAGATTTATTCACTTACATATTTTCAGATTTTAAAATGAAAAATTGGAACAGCCAGATAGGTGGATTCCAAAAAATTTTAGTATCACAGGTAAAACATTACAGTGAACTCTGCTTGGCTTTTCCAAGCACCATGTCATGCACTAGTGACACAAATCCCAAGAGGAGAACTGATCATGAATGAGAGAAGTACTTGCCTCAGTTAAGATGGATGTGAAATTCCTGGCAAAATGGATATGCTTGGCAAGCTCAGCTCTGCTCACCAGAATTCCTTCTAGTTCTCTATGCTTGCAGGGCACAGCTCCTACAAGCACAATAAGCATCGACTGACAAGACACATATACCTTAAAATAAAACACGATCATTTACCCTGAACAATCCCAAGAGACCTGATGGAATACTGCAAGCCTTTCATTAAACCAACAATGAACAAATTAACAAAGAAAACACAGTCAGTGTTTAAATAGTTGGGTGTGGCCATGGCTTGGGAGCGGCAAGTATTATTCCAAAGAGGCTGGTGCACTTCAATGAATGTTCCTATCTGTTGTAGAGGTGTTCAGTTTGTACTTGCAGTTTTGTAGCCAGATGTGGGAAGGAATGAACAATTTAATTATGGTTTCATAGGTGAGATCTAAGACTAAAACATTTTGTGTAATAAAGGCTTTGCTTACTATATTCTGAAGAATAAAACCTGCAGTAACGAGTTAAAAAAAAAATCCAAGTTTTTTTTTAAGTCTTTGCTAGTTCTTTCCTTTTCAGAGATTGAATTGTTAAGATGATCATCAGGAAAACTAGAATGTGCAGGAATAAAAAATATTTTCATGAAGAAACACATATGAGACTATTGATTCATTGAGATGGGCCTCAAGATGTTCTGAACATCTCCCAGGCTTTGCATGCTATTTTATCTTTTCTAACCTAAAATAACATTATCCCTAAGCCTATCCACATATTAGTGATTTTTATGAGGTTACCACTGATGGAAATGTCTTGCCTCTAGAATGGCTCTCTTCATTAGGCCACAAGTCTTTGGCTGGTGCACTTGGCTGGATGTTGTTTTAACGTACCATTTAAACCTGTGCTTACCTTGGACACTCTTGCAGAAACAAGTTACAGACAAAAATCTGCTATCAGCCCAATTACTCAACAGTTTTTAATTCAAAATACAGAACTACACTAATAGGAGGAAGCCTGATACAAGAAAACTAAGGGAGTGAAATGTTTACATGCTGGGGTGTGGACACTATTTAAGGAGAGTACCCTGAATTCCACTTTCACAAGAGATTAAGAAGAAAAAAAAAAAGAAACACAAAAAATAAATTGGTAGGGTTAGACTCTGTAGGTGTAGAAGAAGAGATTACAGGCGACCTTACCCCTGATAAGTCATAGTTGTACTAGTTACCAAAGAAGAGGAATAGCCTTGCACCTATTGGGTTGAAGCTGTGACTAATAAAGATAAGTGTGATAAAAGGGGTGGGTTGACTGATCGAGAGTGTGATAAATGTGATTCGTGCTAATTAAGTTGTAACTATATTAACAAAATTGTATTTAGATCAATAGAAGACAATTGTTACCGAGTGAAAGGGGGGGGAGATGGGTGAGACAGGGCAAAGGACATCTTCCAGATGTTGGGAGTCGAGGAAGGAGGTTGGAAGAAAGTCAAATAAGAATAGTAGAAGGACATAGGTCTGATAAGCAGCATCCAGAAATAGAAAGTTTTGACCTTGAAATGGGCCAAAATGGAATGATTCCAAGCATGGGACTCAATTAAAGTCTTGTTATGGAAAACATCTGCTCAGTCACACGGTGCGCCTGCACTACCTGCAGGTCACACCTCGGTCACTGAGGAAGACTATGAGCCTTCATCGGAAATAAGACCCTCAAAAGGATGAGAGACCCCCTAACCTATTAGTAGAGCATACTCTGTACACATAGTGACGTAGATTTTAGGAATAGAAACTAGGAGGAGTTTTTTAGAAACTTCTGTAGCCTACAGTATATAAGTGGGATTGTTAGCCTGGATGCTTTGGTACGTGAGGAATGGGAGCCACTCCCCGTATCCCCGGTCGGAGGGGGGCCCCTCCCCGGTCGGTTTTGCTTATGCTTTATACGAACCTCAATTATACTAAATTACTTACTGCCAAATTTTGTATATTCTTAAATATATGCACTTTGATTGTTTCATCTCCAATACTTTAATTGTCATCTGCAATACTTTGATTGTATTCATTTTGTTACTATTAAAAACTTACTATTAAATTTAATCTTGTTGCTTGATAAATTGGAAAAAAATAGAACATCATTCATAACAAGAGGATCTTGGAGGCAGAGGACCTTGAGGATGTAGAGGTGCCCTGAGAAAGAAGGAACAATCCAGAGAGACACGAAAAAGAACGAAACAAGGAAGAGAGCTGCTGCTGTTAAAGATCTGCTATGAGGTCAGTCTGTGTCTGATAGAGTTAGAGCCTGCTGATGGAGCATGCAGTCTTAGTCGAGCTAGGTGAAAGCCTGTGATCAGAGTGTGCAAACCAATACTTGCAGTCATAGTCCAGTAGGATATAGCCAGCAGTCAGAATCTGCAGTTGGACCCTACAGTAGGAGCTTACTGTAGTCAGTCAGGATGGCTAATCTGTAAAAAGAATAAACCAGGACCCTTGTCATGTTGTTGAATAAGAGTCTGTCTCTTGGCTCATTTCTACCCCTAACGAGATGTCTACTGTAACAAGACTCCATTTGCCTCCAGTCAGCAGAAGTTTAAAAGCCACACTCCCAGAAAATTAACTAGATGAAAAGACATGCATAGGAATAGAAAAAACAGATTATAAATTGTAACAAGTTAAGCATATAAAACATCACTGACGTAAGCAAGAGGTTTGACAGGCAACTTAGCAAAGAAACAAGTCCATTTTGCAACGCCCATGAATCCAACCGGTGCTCCAAGGAAACGTTTGCCGCAACGGATTTGCGAGGGGAGGGCTCCTGTGCCAGCCCCCGTAGGAGCCAGCGGACCAGCCCATGGGCAAAGCACAGCGGCCGGGACCAGCAAGAGGAAAGGTCCTCAGAGGAGGAGGAACGAAAAGGGGGGGGGGGGGGGGAGGGCCAGAGGATCGCCGGGTCCTGCGTAACCGACCACTTTTTCCCAGTGGAATGCCCGAGCTACTAGCAGCCGCCAGCTCGGAGGGCGGTGCGCGGGAGCAAGGCGGGAAGCAGACGCGGAGCATCCCGGCAGAGCGGGGTGAGGCGGCCGCGCCAGCAGCAGCCATTGCCTGGGAGCGGCACGGCAATCTCGGCTCTGCCTGCACCCTCCAGCATGCTGCCCAGGCTGCGGAAAGAGAAACTAAAGCCGCGCCCCAGCTCCCCAAACGCTGAGAACACGGAATCGGGAGCAGGAGGCCAGAACGGCCGTGGGGAGCCCCGGCGGCCCCGCCCCACTTGCAGGAGCAAAAGAAGAGCCGTGAGGCGCCGGACGCCCCCGCTACTACGAAGGCCTCCTCCAGCTCCATCCCCAGCGACACGGCCCGCCCGGAGCCGAGCCGCGCCCCCGTCACCTCGCCCCGCCGGTAAAACGCTCACACACGGTGGGCAGAACAAGCCCCTGCAAGGCCTGAAGCACCCGCTTCTTTACTGTAAAACAAACGAGGCCAAACAGCTGCGGAGTGAGGTGAGCAGAGTGAGGGGCATCAGCATCATGCGGTGGGGAAAGCGTCGCCGCTGTTCCAGGAAGAAAGGGCTGCCAAGAGAGGAGCAGGATGCACGGCGATACGGCCACATCTCTCCTTCAAACAGACACTCACTCAAAGGGGAGCTGCGAGACCACCCCAGAGAAGAGCAGAACAGCTTGGGAGTTGCTCCAGCATGGTTTGAACAATGGAGCAGCTTTCCTTTTTTCATGACGTCGATTTGAAGAGAAGTACTTGTTATAAATGAGAAACAAAAGTATAGATATTCAGCAAAATTTAGATTGCTTTATTTGATATAGAAAGAGCAAGCAGTGTGCTAGGGAACCTGAGACATCACCGCCCACTCCACGCTCCACCGAACTCTGGCCCGCAGCCTCTACTTATACTATGGCTTCTCCCCGTAATCAATAATATTTGTAATTTTAGCAGTCACAATTTTGCCAGGTAAGCAGTGGTGATCAAATAAAAATCCTTATCCCAATTCACAAAATCTCCAGCGATAGTCAGTTTCACAGATAGCCATCGGGTCCTTGGAGATAACCACCACCGAAGTTCTGGAAGTCTGGTCCTTGAGAGAAACAGCATTGATCAGAAAAAGGCAGAAAGGGCTATCAGGAAGTCTGATTGTGCAAGCTAGTAGTAGATGCAACATATTTGGAACACACAACACAAAACACAACACATCACAAAACAGACAACACACCACAATACACCACAACACACCACGCAACACCACGCAACAGACAACAGACCACAACAAACCATGCAACAGACAACACAGCACAACACACCACGCAACAGACAACACACCACAATACACCACTCAACACACAACACACAGCACACCATGCAAAAGACAACACACAACAATGCACCAAAACACAACACGTAACCAACAACGCAACACAACACGCAACAGAATACACACCACAACACAACACGCAACAGACAACGCACCACAACACACCACAACACACCATGCATCAGACAACACACAACAACACACCACGCAACACACAACACACCAGAACACACCACACAAGAGAAAACACACCACAACACACCACGCAAAAGACAACACAACACAAGACACCACGCAACAGACAACACACCACAAAACACCACGCAACAGACAACACCCCACAACACACAACGCATCAGGCAACACACCACAACACACAACACACCACGCAACAGACAACACACAACACACCACGCAACAGAAAACACACCACAACACACCACGCAACACACAACACACCACAACACATCTCACAACAGACAACACACCACAACACACCACACAATAGACAACACACAACACACCAGGCAACAAAAAACACACCACAACACACCACACAACAGACAACATCCCACAACACACCGCAACACACCACCCAACAGAAATCACAGCACAACACACCACGCAACAGACAACGCACCACAACACACCACAACACACCCCAACACACCACGCAACAGACAATACACCACAACACACCACACAACAAACAACACACCACAACACACCACGCAAAAGACAACGCACCACAACAAACAACGCAACAGACAATGCACCACAACAATCCATGCAACAGACAACGCACCACAACAATCCACAACACACCACGCAACAGACAACG